GGGGACTCCTCATTCTGATAAGAAACACCCTGGGGTGATCTTCCTTTTGGGGAAGGGGTACCTTGGTTCCATGGGACATAGAATGCCCTAAAAGCCCCAATCTGCTAGGAGGAACAATGTCTTTGGGGTCAGCATCTGCTCCTACTTTCTAGGAACTACCCTGCTCCAGGTCACCAGTGTCTGCCAGGACTTTGGGTCATCCTCAGTGACTTCAGTCTGTAAGGAAAAGTTAAGGCTTACATTGAAGACCACCCAACACTTCTGCTGTTTTCTTTCCTTTATTCTCACCTGCTTTCCTACCTCCCAGAATCACTGCAGTTCTCCAGACAGGACTAAAGCCAGGCTCCCTCTGCACCTGCGTCTGCTGTTCCTCTGGTGTACAGTCCTGCCTGCCTACCATGGGATGGTTTGCGAGTTGGGCAAGGGGCTGGAGATTGAAACACACAGACACGGGTCATCCTTGAAACAAGAATGCCCTTTTTATTGCGTTCCAGGGCAGCTTATATAGGGCTTCTCCTTGACTAATGGCCACGCCCTAGCTCTCAGATCTTTTCAGCTGCAAGCCCACCAGAAACCAGTTCCTGCCATCAGGAACTCATAAATCTCATGCTCAGAGCAGCTGCAAACACAGGAAAACAAGTTGTTTACTCTGGCAGGGAAGGGGTCATAGAGAATTCAGGGTCTGAGGGTCTGCAGTCCTCAGCTCCCTGGTGACATCCATCATCCTCCTAGTTACTTCCTTTTCCTTCTTTGGGTCTTAGAAATCACCCCATTTCCCTGGGAAACTTCCTTTGAATGGCAAGAGGAAAGTGATGTGTGTTAGCCTCACCTACCTCTCAGCCCCTGTCAAACTGAGCCGTCTACCAAGGCAGCTTCAGTGCTTGCGGATAAATAAGTAAGTAGAGGTTTGTGTGTTGGATAGAAAAGCATCTTACTCTCCCCCAAGCACAGAACCTTCCTCTGGACCTTTTCTTGGCACCGACTTGACCTGAATGAAGACAGGGAGCAAGCACACACCTATCTGGTCGGGCCAGGCATTCAGAGGGGTGTGTGTGTGTGTGACCTGACAGAAGATCAACTTCAGTTGAGCGTGAAGATGCTTTTCCTCTCTATGCAGGGGTGCAATGTACAGAGTTTGGAAGCGGGCATCCTGGCAGGCCTTTCCTCCCTCCTCATTCATCCACGAAGGGTCTTGCAGCAAAGAGCTGGTCCAACCACTTTCAGACAGGATAGGAAGCATTGATTCAGGCATGATTAGTACCTAGTGTTAGCTCCGCCCAGTGGCAGCCTACCTCTGCCGCCAAAGCAGTAACGTCATCACCTGTCACCAGGTGCCTTTCCATCATCAGCTATGTGAATGTGCACCCCTTACCCTCTTGCCCCTTTCTCCCCTCTCGCCTCTCTTCTTCTCATCTCTTCCCTGTTCCCTCCATTTATCTGTCTGCCTGTCTGCTTCTCTCATGTCCCCACTCTGACGCGGCCTTTCACCCTCCCTATCCCCCGATAAACCTCTTGCTCTATTCCACATGGTGTGTTTGCTTAGTGGCATACCTTGGCAGGGACCATCAAAAGGTACCCCACTTCGCCTGTCTTTTTTATCCTTACACCTAGGCCAATCATGTATCCATGAAGTCCTGGATTCCAAGGTGAGCTCGGCCAGCAACAGCTCTAAGCAGGCTGTCTAAAGTTGTAGAACTTGAGGACATGGCCCTAGGCCTGGTTTCAAGGACTGGGCTTGGAGAGGTCTTAGGTCTACACAGAGGAACTGGCAGATATTGGCAGGTGAGAATTGGAAATAGCGTGTGTAAGGGAAGATTGTGGTTGGAATCGAAAAGCCACAGTGAGTAGACCAAGCATCTGCCTTGGGTTGACAAAGGGACAAAATTTCGGGAGGCGGGGAGGACGACATGGACGAGGTCAAGCAGGAATTAGCCAAGCAAGGATTAAAAAGGGCCAATAATAAAGACCTAGGGACTGGAAACTGGGGAGTGGTGTGCTGGGGGTGGGGTGGGACTGAGAGTTGCCTGGGCAACGCTCAGGGGTACTGGAGGCACAAGCCGAAGTTCTGCCTCACCTGACTTAGTCGAAATGCATTCGGGGAGAATCAAAGCCAGGTCTCAGGTCTAGGGCACCTTACTGAGTGCTCTGTTCTGCGTCTCTGTCCTTTTGTTCCTCAGAGGTCCCCAAGACCGCTCCCAGTTTGCAGCTGGGTTCAGGGCTCCATGGATACACCTAGGATATCCTAGGTGTAAAGATAAAAAAAGGAAGGCGAAGTGGGTACCTTTCGGCGGACCCTGCCAAGCTTTGCCACTAAGCAAACACACCACGTGCAGTAGAGAAAGAGGTTTATTGCAGGAGAGGGGAGAGCTAAAGGCCCTGTTGGAGTGGGGACGTGAGAGGGGCAGGCAGTCAGACAATTCCACACATTCGGGCGCGTGGAAGTGCCAGCGTCGCCCAATCTCAGGCCTTTGGGACCTTTAGAACAGAAAGGAAATGGTGGCTGATTCCAAGGACCGCATGTGAGGAAGGGGCTGTTGGGAAAGTCGCAGTAGTCTATCATTCCTCTTTCAGTTCCTGTACTCCATGAATCGCAAGCACCCCCAGCCTCCCAACTTGATTGTACCCCGGAATAACACTGCAAACAGACCCCTTTGCACAGTACCTCTTTTTAAAACTCCCTTAAAAACACATGGATAAGCCGGGCGATGGTGGCGCACGCCTTTAATCCCAGCACTCGGGAGGCAGAGGTAGGCGGATCTCTGTGAGTTCGAGACCAGCCTGGTCTACAGAGCTAGTTCCAGGACAGGCTCCAAAGCCACAGAGAAACCCTGTCTCGAAAAACCAAAAAAAAAAAAACAAAAAAAAACAACAAAAAAAAAACACATGGATAGCGTTCGCGCCTCAAGGACGCCCCCTGGACACCGGGATAGAACCGGAGATGAGCCTGTCTTCTCCCAGGTGTTTAGCTGCAGCAGCATCAGGTCCTTACAACGTGGAGTGGTGCAGCCAGGGTCACCATGGACACTGGAACGCCGTGGGGCGGGGGGACTAACCCAGCTGCACAGATCAGGCTGTGTAGGAGGGCGCCGCCGGCACCAGCTCTGACTGCGCAGTCCCTTCACCCTGTCTTCTCTCAGGTTTCAATCTGGGGCATGCCCCTGCCTTTGCTCACTGTTTCTCGGTGGGATGAATCGACACCAGCAGCACAGGCAGCCACAGATGGTATCACGGAGCTCCGCGTTTGATTGGGCTCAGCAATATTCAGATCACCTCCCATTTTGCAAGCTCGACCCTGGGTCCCAGCCCCACAGATTCTGGTAAGGACAGGCTGGGCAGCTGGAGACAATGACAAAAGCCCTTAGGGAAGGGACCACACAGTTCCACTGGCATTTTCTCCTAGGACCAGGTTCTCTTAGAACTGCCATCCAGTGTTCCTTAAGGAAATCTAAGCTTCCTGATCGACGAAATGGTGATGAAAGTTTGTCTATGCTCTGCGCTTATTTCCAGAGGTTCTTGATTTTTCTTTTTTTAAGTCCTGCGCTGTTGGTACCCTTGATGACTTAAAAAGAAAGAAAGGGAAAAAAACCATTTGTTCCCCTGTACTCTGGTAGATGGACTGGAAAGTGGGGGTGTGTTGACTGGGACCTGCCTTCTTCTCCCACACATTTGAAGCTTGGGTAGAGGAAAATCCCTCCGTCCACCTTAAAAGCAAACAGCGGTTGTAGCTGACGCCCCTCCTGAAGTCATGCCCTTTGGCCACCTCTAGAAACCAATTCTGTGTGGGTCCTGAAGAACTCCAGCCCTTGACTCTGCCTTTTTCATTAAGTGTGAATTGTCCACACTATGAGCTGAGTTATGTTTCTGATAGAGGGACCCAAGAGGAAGGACCCTGTGCTCGGTCTAGCAAGAAGACATGCTTCAGTTGGTAACTACAATAGGAAACTCAACTGATTTGCTAGAGGACTCATTCAACCATTCATCCATGCACCTACTTTTAATATTTTTTATATTTATTTTATGTTCATGAGTGTTTCACCGGAATGTGTGTCTGGGCACCACGTGTGTGCCTGGTGACCACAGAGGGGTAATGGATCCCCTGGAACTGGAGTTATGAGGTTGTGAGCCACCAGATGGGTGCTGGGAATTGAACCTGGGTCCTGTGCAAAAGTGACAGGTGCTCTGAGCCACTGAACTATCCCTTTTTCTATCTCTCTCTCAATACTTTTAAAATTCTTACTGATATCTTTGTGATGCTAAGTCTAGATAACAAGGATAATGGTAAAATACACAAGGGACTGGCTCTTCCAGAGGTCCCGAGTTCAATTCCAAGCAACCACATAGTGGCTCACAACCATCTGTAATGAGATTTAGTGCCCTCTTGTGGCATATATACATGCCGGAACACTGTATACATAATAGATAAATAAATAAGCAAAAAACCAGCCAAATAAATCTTTTTTTTTTTATTTTTTTATTTTTTTTTATTTTTCGAGACAGGGTTTCTCCGTAGCTTTTGGTTCCTGTCCTGGAACTAGCTCTTGTAGACCAGGCTGGCCTCGAACTCACAGAGATCCGCCTGCCTCTGCCTCCCGAGTGCTGGGATTAAAGGCGTGCGCCACCACCGCCCGGCCAAATAAATCTTTAAAAAATAATAATGGATCTTACAAAACCATCCAATGAATCCGCCCACCTCTGCCTCCCAAGTGCTGGGATTAAAGGCACATACCACCATCACCCAGTGACTTCCTGGGTTTCTAAGTCAGCAGATCAGGGAGACATCTGCACTTCCATGTCTAACCCTCATCACACAACACACATAACTGTCAGGGCCAAAAGAAATGGCTAACTAGCTGGACATAACCTTGCCATTCAGTGACTTACTCCCTTGGTCCTCCTCTCCCTTCTCCCCTCCCCCATCATGGCCCAGTCCATTCTTTTCTTTTTTTTTAAATTTTTTTTTCTACAAATTCATCCTTTTATTAGCCATGGTATCAAAGCGCCTAGTCCAAAAGACCAAAGCCCATGTCGTCATCAGACTCCTCGGATTCTTCCTTCTTTGCTTCCTCTTTCTTCTCCTCAGCTGGGGCAGCAGCGGTGGAAAGGGCAGGACCGCCTGCTGGTGCCACTCCGGCTGCTGGAGCAGGCCCACCAGCCCCTACATTGCAGATGAAGCTCCCAATGTTGACATTGGCCAGGGCCTTTGCAAACAAGCCAGGCCAGAAAGGTTCAACATTGACACCAGCTACTTTAATGAGGGCATTGATCTTATCCTCCGAGACCTTCACCTCGTCGTTGTGGAGGATGAGGGCGGAGTAGATGCAGGCCAGCTCAGAGACGGAGGCCATGTTGCGGACTGTCGGCACGGTGCTAGTCGCCGGATGAAGTGAGGGCCTCACCCCAACGTGGCCTTAGCTTCCTCGGAAGGACCAAACACCTTGGCGGCAGCAGAGGAAAAGGGCCCAGTCCATTCTGCCAGCCGTGGTCAGTTCACTATTTCCTCTCCCTGCTCTGGATTCTTCCAGATGCCTCTGGCTGTTCTCTCCCTGGTATCCACACTAACCACCTTTCCCCTCAGCCACATTTTGGAGTGGCCACATCCTCGTTTTATACGATGTTCAGTGTTGCATTTGTGAGTGTGGTCAAGGTATGGAAACACGCTGGAAGTCCATCTACAGACAAGCCGCAGAAGAAATCACAGCAAATACACATAGCAGGATTTCATTTAGTCCTAAGGAGAACGAAGTTACAATGTTTTCAGCAAAATGGACGGAAATGGAGATCGTTCTGTTAAGTAGAATGGACCACACTGACACAAATGCTGTTTTCTCATTCTGGGATCTAACTTTACACACATATACATATATAGGCTGTGACAGTGGAAAGGGGCCTGTGAGAAGGAAAAAGAAGAGTAAATGGGGGCAGGGAAGAACAGCAGAGAGAGTAACCGGAGGGCCGGGGTGTCGGCTCCGGGTTCAGGTGCTCACTCTGGACTATAAACACAAAGCTGGAGTCTCTCTCTGAAAGCAGCCAAAAGTGAAACGGTACAGAGCAGCTGGGTGTTGTCTCGCACCTGCATGGCCAACACTTCGGAAGCTTCCAGAACTTGAGGCCAGCCTTGGCTGCACACAGAGACCCTGTGGAAACCAAAACCCAAAACAGAACCAGGTTATGAAATTCCAGACCAGCGAAAGCTTCAAGGCTGGGGCTTTGATAGACATGCAGATTAGCCCCGCCTCCACACAGTCAGACTGAATCTGAAACGGGGAAGGGGAAGCCGCCTGTTTTAGCACATGATTTTCCCCCAGGTGATTCTGACGCCAGAGCTGGAGGGGCACTGGAAAGTATACAAAATGGCAAAATCCTTTCGTGTCGTCAGCAATGAGAGTGGGGCTGGGCGCCGTTCAGTACAGCCTTCGCTAGCAGTCATCTGCGTTTGCGCAGAAACTGGGTGGGTGGGGGAAAGACACAGAAGAGGGCGTGGCAGTTCACGAATTCTAGTATTCAGAGGCAGAGGCAGGAGGATCCCTGTGAGTTTGAAGTCAGTTTGTGCTACAGAGTCAGTTCCAGGTCAGCTTATGCTGAGATCCTGCTTTAAAAAAGAAAAGAATTACAAACGCAAAAGTTATATAATCTAGCTGGGTCTTTAATCCTAACACTCGGGACTTTAATCCTAACACTCGGGAGGCAGAGACAGGCGGATATCTGCGAGTTTGGGGTCAGCCTGGCCTATAGAGTGAGTTCCAGGACAGCCAGGAGTACAAATAGAAACCCTGTCTCAAAAAACAAACAAACAAAACAAAAAAACAAAAAACAAAACGAAAACCCAAAACAAAAAAGTGTGTGTGTGTATTCATTTGGAAACAGAAATTTTATCCCTTGGAGATGAATGTGAGCAATGCCAAGCAGGAAGGTCCCAGTGTGACCAGCATCATTTGACCTAGGTGCTGCTTCATTGCTTAGTCGGGAGAATTTACCAAGTTCCATATTTATTTATTTTAAATTTTTTTCAAGACAGGGTTTCTCTGTGTAGCCCTGGCTTCTTGTAACTCTGTAGACCAGGCTGGCCTCAAACTCACAGAGATCTGCCTGCCTTTATCTCCAGAGTGCTGGGATTAAAGGTGTGCACCACCACTGCCTGGCTCCAAATTACATATGATATTTAAATATGTACATTTTTTTATCTCCCCCCCTTTCTCTTTCCTGTCTCTGTCTCTCTTTCCTTTCTTTCTTTCTTTCTTTCTTTCTTTTTCTTTTTTCTTTTTGGTTTTCGAGACAGGGTTTCCATGTGTACCTTTGGAGCCTGTCCTGAAACTAGCTCTGTAGAACAGGTTGGCCTTGAACTCACAGAGGTTGGCTTGCCTCTGGGATTAAAGGCGTGCGCCAACACCGCCTGACTCCTAGTCTCCTTGCTTTGTTTTGTTTTTGAGTAATGATCTCGTGTATTCCAGGATGATTCAAATTCACCAATTAGCTGAGAATGAACTTCTGACTTTACCTGCCAAGTGCTGGGAGTCTGTGCATGACCATTACACATGTTTTCTTTTAGGTTTTCGGTCGGTTGGGTTTTGTCCTCCCGTAAGAATATAGGAGCACTGGAGAACATACAAACTGGCAAAATCCACTTATGCTTGCACCGTGCCTGGCACCACTTCCATTTCTCTTCGCTCTTCCCTTTTTTCTTTTCCTCTCTTCCTCTTTTTCCCTTCCCCCTCCTTCCTCCTTCCCTCTCTCTAATTGCTGGGGCAAAACCCGGAGCCTTGAGCATCCAGGAAGGCTTTCACTAAGCCAAGCCCCAGTCCTGCTCTCATTGATGGGTAATAGAGAAACTTCACGAAAACTGAGAAGCCCTGTGGCAGCAGCCGGTGGTGGCCCATACCTTGGTCCCAGCACTTGGGAGGCAGAAGCAGGCAAAGTTTTGATTTGAAGGTCAGCCTGGTCTATATAGTGGGTTCTAGGCTAGCCATGGCTACATTTGAGATAAGAAAGAGAGAGAGGGAGAGAGAGCGATTGAAGCCAACCCTGTGAATGCCAGGGAGGCCGAGGGTTAGAAGTAGAGCTACACGCTGCTCTTCAACTATGGGTAGCTCCTTCAGCTGCCGGAAGCTTTCCGGTGATTGCCAACAGAACCTAGGGCTCCTTAGAGTGAAGCTTGGAATCACAGAACCTGTCCCAACAGAGACTCAGAGAAGTCAGTGAGCTACCCGAAATCCCATCAAAGTAACAGCAGAGTCCAGCGCTCCCAACTCCCAGGCAGCCGGACCTCATTCCCTTGCCTGAAGAGCTAGCACCGCAAAGGGGACTGGGAGCTAGCCAGCCTTCCCTCTTGACTTCCTTGACTCGGGTCTTGGGAGGAGGGCCAAGTCGGCTGTGGATGATGCTTTTCTTATCCTGCTGCAGCTTCCTTTCTGGGAACCAGGAACCTGATTCTGGGCAAAGACAATAAAATTCATCCGAAGGGCTCCTCCTGCCCCCAGCCGGATGGGCATCACGTGGCCCCCAGTTAGCAGACCAGGAAAATTCCATCTCTTGCACACTTAGCTTCACACACCCATCTGCTCACTCACCCTGGCACACTTAGCCTTGCTCACCCACCATCTGCACTTGTCACCACACACACCTGGCACACTTTCTCACCCTCAGCCTCTTCTGCCTCTCCTAAAGTCTTTCCCTCGCTGCCCCATTGACGACCCCAGACCTACCATGTCCCTGGAGCCACTGAAGTCCCAGGCAGTGGGGGAGGTTGAGGAAGATGAGGAGGAGAGCTTAGATTCCGTGAAGGCACTGACAGCCAAGCTTCAGCTCCAGACCCGAAGACCCTCATATCTGGAGTGGACTGCCAGAGTCCAGAGCCGAGCCTGGTGCAGAGCCCAAGCCAGACCTGAGCCAGAAAGACCTGGAGCCATCTGTGGCTTCGACTCCATGGAGTCTGCGCTTGAGTGGCTCAGAAGCGAGCTGGTGAGTCCATTCGGCTAGACAGATTGGCACAGGGTCTCTATGTCAGTCCTCTGTGGGGTTGGGAGGAGGTGAGAATGGACCACTCTCCAAAGCAAGTCCTCGCTGCTGTGCCTTCGGACAGAGGAGCCAGGAATTCAGTCATATCTTTGTGGGAGCCAACCCTGGATTAATAGACCCCAGAGCAAAGGTTCTCAACCTGTGGGTCGCGATCCCTATTTGTGGGGGTCAAATGACCCTTTCACGGGTTGCATATCAGATATCTTGCATATCAGATTAGATTCATAACAGCAGCAAAGTTACAGTTCTGAAGTAGCAACGAAAATAATTTTGTGGTTGGGGTCACCACAACTCTAAAGGGTCTCAGCATTAAGGAGGTTGAGAACAGCTGCCATAAAGAGACAGCCAAGGAGAAAGTCGACCCTGACTGGGCTGTCGGTAGAATCTTAGGAGGGGAGAGTTAAATATCAGCTGTCAACCCAACATATGCAAACATATAAGGTTGTCCAGTGCAGCTCAGTGAGTCCTCTTAGTTGATCTGTGATGACGTACCAGACAGCTGTATTTGCATTCTTATGGTTCCGTGGCTTGCTTTGGGGACCACCAATCCGGAACAAGCTCTGAGAGCTGGGGAAAGACGAAGGTAGGTGAGAAGGGGCTTCGGAGCTGTTCTGTGCTAAAGTGTTCACAAAAAGGAAGCAAACGGTGGCGGGTGAGGCTGGAGGCTGGCCCAGCACGCTCACGCCCCCTTTCGGTCACAGCAGGAGATGCGTGCTCAGGATCGGCAGCTGGCAGGGCAGCTGCTGAAGCTGCGGGCCCAGCTGCACCGACTGAAAGTGGACCAAGCCTGTCACCTGCACCAGGAGCTGCTGGATGAGGCGGAGCTGGAGCTGGAGCTCGAGTCTGGGATTGGCCTGGCTCTGGCCCCACCACTGCGGCATCTGGGACTCACGCGCATGAACATCACTGCCAGGCGCTTCACCCTCTGTTGAGGACCCTTGGGTGTCTATCTGGGAAGAAGGAAGAGGTGGCCCTGTGGCTCCGGCATCTGCTGGGGGAGAGGGCACACTTAGGTTTCTGAAAGTTGAATTCAGAGAGCACAAAGCCCCAGGGTGAGGGAAAGAGAGGGAGCTCAGGCCCCAGATGTCTTAATTAAAACCCACTGCATACCACCATCAAAGCTCCTGCAGTCCTTCACTGACTTTTTGGATTTTTGTTTATTTATTTGTTTTCTGGTTTTTTTTGAGACAACAAAAATCCAAAAATAAATGGAAATAATAAGCTGCTAATTCTTCTTACCCCGCAGGCAGTTAGATATGTCTTGCTTTGGCCACCCTTACTACCATTCCCCAGTCAGGGTAGCTGGTCTTGCATCAGGTCTGGGGGACACAGCTGTCGGCTCTGTCACTCAAAACCTTTTTTTTTCTTCCTGTGTCTCTCAGTCTTTGTTTCTGTGTTACTCTCTTTGTCTGACTTTCCAACTCAGGCTTCCTCCCCCCCCCCACCCATTTCCTGTTCCCCCCTTCCCTCTGCAGCGGAGGTGCATACAGCTTCAGCTTCCAGCTTGCAAACCCCAACAATACTCTGTGGGCACCCCTCCCCCACCTGCTCACTCAGCGTAGCTCAGGACGTGACACGTTTACACTTTCCTTCCAGTGAGGTCAGGA